AAGGGCACCTACCTTTCAGGGCTGTTGCAAGAATCAAATGAGATCATGTGTTAAAAGGTTTTGCATATGTAGAAATGTTAGCTATTATTATATTTCATTTCAACATTTTAAATTTCCCTATGATTTACCTGGTATAGATTAATTTCAAAAGGTGAAATCATGTTTTGGAGGAGAGAAACTAATTCCTAAAGCATTTTCCTAAAAGCCTTTAGGTAGGGCAGAGTCCCACCCCTTACTGCCCCCACCACCCAATTCTTTTTTGCTCAGAATAAGTAGCTCAATAAAGTCATGTCAAGTGGTGCCTCATCCATGGTCTTTGACTGTCTGCTCATGACTAAAGTTAATCTTGATCAAACCTGTTATTTTTCTTCCCTCCTCCCACAATTGTTGTGTGACCCTTAGCAAATCTTCCTTTCTTTGAACCTCAGTTTTCTTGGCTATATAAAAGGTTTATAATACTTGCACAGCCCATATCCAGGCTTCTCATGAAGTTAATCACTTTGCAAACTTTCAAATGTTATAAGATATGACTTTATTTTATTATTATTTCAGCCAATGTCCTATTCATGAAGAGGTTGCTCTCTCTTTCTGACTATGGGTCTTGTACCACACGTACTTGCCCCCCTCTGGGCAGAGAGATTTTTCAGCTCTTTCTAAATAAGGCCAAATATGAAAAGACACTTGGAGACAAAGATTTCTTGTGACATTTCTTTGGAGGGTTCCACTTTGGTTAAGTAACTGACCAGGTGGAAAAACTGAGTGTCTAAACTCATGAATTCTTTTCCAGGAAGACAAGCAGAATCAGTCAATCCATGTAAATTGGCTTGCTCTATGGAGAAGCAGTGGTGGTTGGAGTGCTGAACCTGGAGTCAAGAGATAGGACCAAATCCCACCTTAGACACTTACTGGTTAGGTCACAATGAGAAAGCTCCATGGCCTCTCTGGGCCTCACTTTTCTCATCAGTAAAACGGGAATAATAACAAGTATACTATCTGCCCCCAAAAGATTCTTGTAAGGAAATAAAGCACTTTATTATTGCTATTCAGTTTTATAGTTTTAATTGGCACAAATACCCTCAATATTGCTGATTAAAAGTGGAAATGAATCTTAGAGGCCATCTCTTTCAGAAGTTTTATACACACAGACACTTACATATATACACACACATACATATACATGTAGATAGACATATGTGTCTATATGTATATAGACACACATGCATACATATATCATTTATATACATATGAAACTCTATTCCAATATAATCTTGTGCACTTTATTTTATGCATTCAAAAATATTATTAATAGAAGGACCATAGACTTCACCGGACTTCACCCAATATGTCTATGACTCACAAAAATGGATAAGAACCTCTGATCTAGTCCAATCTCTCATTTTATAGAAGAGGCTCCACTGAATCTCAAGGAGGTCATGGGCTCATAGGATCATAGATCTAGAGCTGGAAGAAGTCACCTAGTTCAAAACCCATTTTAAAGCTGAGAAAACAGAGGCCCAGGGAGGTACAGACCTGCTCAAGTTCTTCCAGCTAGTAAAGCAGCAGAATCAGGATTTGAACCCTGGTCCATTGACTACATCTTTCCTTCCTGGACTAGATTATATATTCTGATATTATAGACTATGTATCCTATATATCAGAAGACATAATCTGATTCCTGCTCCAGTCAATGCAGCTATTTAGTCAATTTAGACTATATCTACTTATTACTGAAGGACTAAATAGGTAGGACTGCCTAGAGAGTGTATTTTCACAGTAATTATTTTTTTTACTTTTCATCTAGCAGGGTGATTTCATTCATTCCTAGGGTAGAAACTCCCTCCACCAATGCATATTAGCTTCTCCTTTGTAATTTATGGACTTGAGAATGGGAAGTTAAGTAACTTGCCCCGGGGTCACATGGACAAGTGTAACAAAACTCTAGCCCAAGTCTTTCTAATGCTATCTACAGTACCATACTATGCTAGTACTTACCTTATAACCTTATTAATAAAGTTTAAATGATTTGTTGGTACCCCAACCTCAGTTTTTCCATCTATAAAAAGGGTATAATAATTCATGTACTACATTAAGTTACTCAAAGGGCTATTGTGAGGCTCAAATGAAATATTGTCTGTAACTGACTTTGTAAACATTAAAAAGCAATTGGTGAAAGTCAAGTTCTTTCTACTAAGGCAAAAAATCCCACAAAATTAATCCATAATGTACAATCCTTCCTCATTTTTAGAGAATCTCAGAATCCTACTATTGAAAGACAGCGTGATATTGATCGAAAGGAAACTGAATGGGAAGTTAAAAGACCTGGATTCACATCCCAAGTCTTCTTCTTACTTCCCAGAAGGCAGAACTAGAAGAAAGTATTAAAGAGTCAAATTTAGGCTTTATGGAAAGAAAAATTTCCTAACTCATAGAGAAGAATGGACTACAAGCAAAAGGAATGGGATCTCCCCTCTCTGGAGGTCTTGGAACAAAGGCTGTATGTTGTAGTGGGGATTTTTGGTGATACAGTTTGGCTAAATGACCACTAAGATCCATTCTGATTCTTTGATTCTGTCCAGTTATTAAGAGTTAGGATGTGGTAGTCACTTCATATATAAAAATATCCATACAAAATTTGTAGATTTCATCTGAAAACACAGTAGGTTTTTTTAAAGTATTCTTGCTCTGTAGAAAAAATAATGTGCTTCCTCTGAAGGAATTCATGATTTGTATTCAAATAGACAAGATTATATATTGTAAAATCTTCTCAAGTTCTCTCTTATAAAATTTTCCTGTGTAATATATTCTGGCTAAGCTTCTAAGATTTTCCATTTTCCTCCAAAAGAATGTTCCTGTTTTAAAGTTTACTCTACTGGCATGTAGAAAAAATGATCCTTATTAGTTTGGGGCTTTTCGTTCTTTTTTGGTGGTGGCATGAGTGGTGGAGAAATATACTGGGCAGCTATAAGAAGGAAAACTTAAGAGGAGACAGTGTGGTGCAATGGAAAGAGACCTAGGTCTGAAGTTGGAGGTCCTGGGTTTGAATCCCACCTTTGCCACTTACAACCTCTGTTACTTTGGACAAGTCATTCTATCTGTCTGGGCCTTAAAAAATGGGGATGTATCAGGCTACATGATTTTGAAGGTACCTATAAACCTTGGATCTAAGATCCTGTATGCTTACCAGGTTCACGGTTCTTGAGAAGATAACCATGAACTTTTCTAGAAGAAACAGATTAAATTATGTTCAAATTGTTAGCACTAGCACATTTTCTTTTACCCAGAGATTATATGAAGCCAGTCCTAGAAGTATAGGATGGTGGGCAGGTAAAGTATGTGTGGGTGTCTCTTTCATTCAGTTCCTCATGAAAATTGAAAGAATTTTTTTTAAACAGCTGTTCTTAAAATGATAAGGGGATGAGCCTCAGGGCTGGATGTGTGTTGTGGGAGTTTGGAGACTCATGGCATAGATCAGATTTGACAAAAGATCTCTTCTTCTCCCCTTGTACCCTAAACCTCATATGTCTCACCTTCCTTTGGTTCTGAGCATGTTGGGATCAGATTTCAAGCTGGTGCAAGCCCCAACTTTTACAGATGAGGAAACTGAGGCCCAGAATAGTGAAGAGACTCACCCAGAGTTATACAGGGGGTGAAGAGGTGGAGCTGGATTTCCAACCCAGATCCTTTGATTCTAGAACAAATGTTTTTTTTTCCACTGAACATGAAACCAGGTTTCTGTCTTTGTTGCCTAAAATACTCAGGTGAGAAGTGTGGAAAAGTATGGACTCAAGGCCTTAGTTGATATTGCCAGCTACTGACTGTTTTCTTTGGTGGGAGGAGAAGGGAGGAGCACAGGAAGTTTCTTCCCCTCCCACTGAAGCCCTGCCTCCCAGGGTTGGACAAGGGCTGAGATTAGTTTTCTTTCTCTCTCTTGCTCAGCCCTTCAGATCCCAAAGCCCACACATTGTTGTGGAAGTTAGGGGTTTGGCTGGTGTTAAGGAGGGGTTCTTTTTCTCTTTTTGTGAATATTAGAAGAACTTAGCTAGAAGACAAGGGTTCCCAGCTGGGGAGAGCTAGTCCAGTTGAAGAACTGGCTGGGTTGGCCGATCCAGCTGTCCAAGTGCGAAGCTAAGTGCTTGAAAGAGGATTAATGCTGCACTAGAATAAACAGTAAGTGAGAGAATGCCAATAGAGTGCAGAGCAGTGTTTACCTCCCCGGGCTGGAGGAGCGACTTCAGAAATGGGCTTGATTTCGGGAGCAAGAGAGGGAGATTTATGGCTTGAGTTCCATTTGCAGGAGGGGTTTGCCGGTGGCTATTGAACAAGGGCTTAAGAAAGCAGGGCTCAAGAAGATTGTCTTTTAGCACTTTAGAAAGCGGACAGATGCCTGTTCACTTTGAGTAACCAGATGCCATAGAGTTAGGCTTGAATCAATCAGAGATTACAGGGAAAAGTAGGCTGTGAGCAAGGAATAGAAGAGGAAGAGGAAGGGGGAAGGAGAGGGAGGGGACTAGCTAGGAGAGGGAGGGAGAAAGGGGGAGAGAGAGGGAGAAACAAAGGGATAGAGAAAAACAGAGACAGAAAGATAGAGGGAGCAAGAGAGAAGAAATGAAAGAAACAGAAAGAGAGAGAGAAAGAAAAAGAAAGAAAGAAAGAAAGAAAGAAAGAGAGAGAGAGAGAGAGAGAGAGAGAGAGAGAGAAAGAAAGAAAGAAAGAAAGAAAGAAAGAAAGAAAGAAAGAAAGAAAGAAAGAAGAGAGAGGAAGAAGGAAAGAAGAAAGGAAGCAAAGAAGGAAGGAAGAAAGGAAGCAAAGAAGGAAGGAAGAAAGTGATGAAAAAGAAGAGGGAAAGAGAGGTCAGAGTGAGGAAGGGAACTGAGAGACAGAGAAAGCAGAATAAAGACAGGGAGAGAGTGACAAAGACAGAGAGCAGAGTCAAACAGAAAGAGATGCTAAAAAATAGAGGGAGAAAAAGAGATGGGGTGAGGAGAGGAGAGACACAGAGAGACAGAGAAAGAAAGAGAGAGAGGTGGCAATCAGAAGTAGAGTTTTGGGGATTGGGGAAGGAATTACTTCTTTAATCTGTTCACAGTGATAGCCCAGAACTCTAACTCTAAAAAGCTCAGAAAATGTTGATAGAAAGAAGTCAAAAGCTTTGCTAATGGGAAAGGCTTTATTCCCGGGGACACAGAGTGTAATGGAAGAATGGACTGAGTGGGAAAGAAAACAAATAGTAAATAATAGATGAGCTTCAAAAGAAGCTTCAGCTAGGTACAGAGATGCCCTGGAAGGAGAATTAAGAAAGTAAGCCGTCAAGGTTTTGATTCCTTTCTGTGCTAGTGGCCTGCCCCCATCCCCAGTGACTGTCGCCCAGCTTGGAGACTGTTTCAGGGAGGCTCCAGTCCTTGATGCATGTTCTAATGTCATCGCTGTGCCAGATTCGGGGTCCTATTGTGCCAAACCCTGGCAATGAAGCCACAGTTCGGTTGGTGCAAGGAATTCTGGGATGTCTGAAAGTGACATGAGTGGAAGGACTCACGTCCCATCTCTCTTTAATGCCCTATTGTCCAGAAAACTGGCCCTACAAGTCAGCTACTTGGTAGGTATACAGACAAATAACCCAAGAGGTGCTCTGAAACAATCTCTCCTTTAGATGGCTGGGTGATTTACCTCCCAGCACCCAATTAGAGTGAGAGGGTAAAAGGGCAAAGTGATAGGAATTGGAATGGGTGGGAAGAAGCAGGTTGATGGAAGTCAACCAAGCTCTTTTTGGTTTCCAGCCAGCCAGAAATCTAACCTCAAATGAGAGCAAGAATAATCAGAGAAAGAAATTCCATGACCATCTGTTCCATTCTATTCTAAATTCACAAATAAATGAATGGAAGCACAGGTTTTAGGTCTGCATCCATATACTTGCAGTCTCTCTTTGCTAGAATAGGCACTACTGCTTGTCTCATTTATTCCTGAAAGTTAGGGGGATATGCAAAGTTGGGTAGAAATGGTGTTCAGGTGGTCAAAGACTTGGCATATGGGCAAATATTATCTCTACTAGTTTCTTAAAGATTTGTGACTTTTCAAATGACACCATGTACCCTCTGAGGACAGGTATATTCTGACTTATGCCAGTTGAGAGTACAGAAAGTTTGGGGTTTTTAAGTTGGTTAACTTTTATTGACAACTCACAAAAGCCAATATCATTTTAAAAAATAAGCTTGGGATATGGGTGTCTATTTAGTTTTTTTTTCCTCCGCTTTAGTGATCATCTAATAAGACAGGCATGGGCCACAGGTATATTTGTCTTAGACTTTCTGACCCAAATTACACAGAGACAATAAAATTTAAATTGGGATTCAGGTGGGGTTCAGATAGGTGTGAGGTCAAGCTTCTTTTTTGTAACTATGGCAAAAATGAAATGATCTTTATTCTCTGTTTGCAAACTAAAACCTCCCAAGAATGTGTGTATTGGTGGAAGTGATTGGGGGTGTGGTCACCAAGGTAAAAGAAGGGCCTGAGTATAAGCAGGCAAGTTGGAGGGCTTTGCAATCTAGCCAATGATCTATTTGTTTCTACTTTTAAAAAAATGCCCTTAATGTATAAAAGTATTTCTTTTTCCATCTTGTGACTATCATTTCAGAGGGTTTGCCTAATGGTAATTTCATCTGGTCTATGCACAAAGAGAGAACAACTTTAATTTTGTCATATGGGCAGTGTGACATTTTCCCCTAATTCAGGATTATCCCAGTCTTAAACAACTATTTACACAATTACAAGACTGAAAAAGAAGTGCTAGGACCACACGTATCCGTTGTGATCCCCTACGGCAGGGTTTCATAATGTGGGGTCTGTGAATTTGTTTCCTTAATATTTTGGTAGCTACATTTCAACATGATTGTTTTTCTTCATAATCCTCTGTACTTTATTTGATACATTTAAAAACATTATTCTCAGAAGGGGTTCATGGACTACAGCAGACTGCTAGGTGGGTCCATGACATAAAAATCATTGAGAGCCTCTTCTATTACTAATTGGTCAAGTCTCCCTAGGTAATGCTCAAACTGACCAGGAACCATGAAATTAAAAAGCACCCCAGAGAAGGGAACTAAAGTTTGGTTAGAGGAGACAAAGAAGGGAGGGTTATAGCAAGAGAAGTCAACAAAAAATGAAAACTGGGTTATTAGCAACCAGTAGCTTAAAGAAACTAGAGGACTTTTGCTTACATACATACAAGATCTGCAGAAAGTATAATGAATTATGACTAGCCAGTAGGGTGAAACAAAGGGTTTCATTTTTTACTGTTGAATATTAGCTGGGAGTTAGACCAGTTATTAATGGAAAGAGACTAGAGATCAATAATGCTTCAAAATTACCTAGCTACTGAAATGCTTTTTAAAATTATTCTTTCACAAGAAAAGTAAAGAAAAAGGATATGGAAAGCTAAGCAGTGATGAAGACATCGAAATAATTGTTGATCAGAACCAGGTAAGTGGATGTTTCCATCAGTTTCCTTTTGCTTGTTCTATATTCTTGAATGTTGACATCCCTGATAGAGCCTGAGGTCCTTTTATCTGCAAGATCTATGGGGTGTTTCTGTGTCTGTGTCTGTGTCTGTGTGTCTGTTTGTCTGTATGTGTGTTAGAGTTCATTTGCCTTGGTCCTTATGGGCCTTCTCCTCTGTCTATGACCCTCCTAGCAAGATGGGTTCTGAGACCATCTTTTGATGGGCTGACTGGGTCAATAACCACCTACAAAATGGTTGGTGGGTTGATATATTGCAAAACAGAAGCAAAATTGGGTAAGAGAAATTTTGAAGAGTCAGCTAATGAACTGAGCCTAAACATGGATGGTAACTGTGGAATGAATTAGATGAGAATGGAAAAAGGAAGCCTTTCATTGATACAGAATATTTTCTAGAGGATTAGATCATGTCCAAAGTCCTTTCCAGCTCTAACTCTATGCAACTACAATCTTATGATAATACATTGTACTCATAATTTTTCTTGCTTGATTCTCACAACAATCTTATGAGATAGGCAGGGCAGGTCCCATTCCTTTCTTTTCCTCTCTTCTCTCCTCTCCTCTCCTCTTTTCTTTTCTCTTCTTTTTTAGACCAGACCAGTGACTTCTTTCGCCTAGGGAACTCCTGGTAAGGAAAATCCCTCTAACAGTATAAATTGTCACCTGTTTTGCCTTAATGCATTTTTAGTATGATATATAACAAGGGAGACAAGGGATTATTCTATTAATCAGCATCTCAAATTCCCACCAGTAGCACAGGGAGTAGGACAACACACTCCCCCATTAGAGATTTACCTGGGGGCTCTGAGAGGTTAAACCAGGATGTTCCAGAGGTGACACTTAACCCACGTACTCTTGCCTCTGAGGCCATATTTATATCCACCACACTCATTGCTCTCAAGGGATGATATTTTCAAGATAGTAAAACTGAGGTTTAGAGAGAGCCCCAGGGTCACATACCTGGTAAATGTCAGATTGGGCAACAGAACGCAGGTTTCTTGATTTTCATTCCAGCATGTTGCTTGAGATCACATATAGAGAACTAACTTTAAAAAAGACAAGATAGACAGAGAAGGCTAAAAAAATTATTTACAGTTTCTGTCCATTAAAGGTCTTGTCAAATGTTATAGCTGATTTTTGAAAGCAAAAAAAGTGAAAAACTAAGATGATTATGAAAAAATTGCCTGCATGAACTTTCTTAGACAAAATAATAAAATTGCTTAATAATGCCATGAATTTAAAGATAAATTAGAGGCTCTTGGAAAGCTTTTTGGCTTTCCATTATTTGAAAAGCCTCTAACTTTGATTTTGTATGAGCACATAAGGTGAGCTGAAAACTGGCTAATGGCCCATATACAATGACATGCTAAGTAATGAGAGGTGTCCAGCACAGGGCTGTGGGAATCGGCACCAGTCCAGCTTCTGACATCTTTTGTAAGGAAATTAGAGACAGGGAAAGCAGCAAATGCTTTTGATGGGGAAGAGGCCCAGAAGCTAGAACTGGTGCCAGCTCAAATGAACAGAGAGAAATGATCTGATGGGCCTAAAAGAGGTCTTATGGCTAGGTGTCGATACAGAGAACACTCAAACAAGAGGAGGCACACTTAGGAGAAGGAGGCCAAGATATCCTAATTCAGTGAGCCTGATGGGACCAATATAAAATGGGCCACCATATTGGGAGGAAGTATGGTATGGTAGAAAGAGAGTGAACCTAGAGTCAAGAGACCTATGTTTGAATTTTGGTTCTGCCATTTACTATCCATTTGACTTTGAGTAGGATTCTTACTCTCTCTGAATCTCAGTTTACTCATCTTTAAATTAAGGGATTTAAATTAGATGGCCTCCCTTTAGAAACTTTAAATATCCATGATTGAAAGGAATGGGGAAGCAAGTAAAGTTGACTAGAAGATCCCAATGGGACCATCGTTGACAACCAAACCATTGAGCAAACTGAGATGGTTTTCTGGAAAGACTGGTCAGGTCATGGGATCATAAACATGGAGCCAGAAGTCATCCAGTCCAACCTCATAATTTTACATATGAGGAAACTGAGGCCTAGGGAACTAAAAAGACTTGCCTAAGTTGACTCAGTGACAGAGTTGGGATTCCAACCCAGGTCCTCTAACTGCAGCCCTCTATCCATTGCACCATCAGAGGAACTGTGAAGGGTGATGCCATCTTGGCATAGACTTGTCAGCTAGCCTTATCTTGTAAAAGTGTCTCAGAGTCATCTTAGCAATTATTTTGTTCCTTGCCTTCTTCTATATAGTCAGTTCTTCCAAACCTACCTTCCCTTCTCCCCTGACAGAACGGCTCCTGAGTGTAGCAGGAGAGAAAATATGCATTTGGCCTTGTGTTTCTGTCACCTAGAGCCAAATTATTATTTTAATTAATGAAGCAAGTGATGCTAGAGCTTGAGTACTAGGCTGGCCTATTAACTATCATTTTAATTATGCTTAAACAATGACTTAGAGGCATGTACTTTCCTCCTCCCATTGGTACTGATGGGAACTGGGGGCCCTGATTAATAGATTAGTCCTCAGAACTTTCCCCTTGGTTAAAAAAAAAAACCATGTTACAAATGCATTAGATATCCTATATTTTTATGTCAGAGGCAGTTGGGAAGGTTGTGGTGGGACAAGGAAAGGATAATTACTTGTCTATAAAAAATAACACTAAGTATGTCTTTCTTTAAATTTTTCCCCCTGCAATCATCAAGAAGGTGAGTTCTTAATTACTGTTGATTTTCTTTAGCATCTGGGGACACTGGAGCTCTGCTTTCTTAAAGACTTGGTTTAACTAAACACCATGGGTCAGAATCTAGAGAGATATTGTGAAGATTCCAGAAATGGAGAAATCACGGTTATTTCTTTTCCTAAGGGTGCCCTTCCCAGAGGCATCCCTCTGTAGCAAAATCTATGTGTTCTCTTATTGTGAGAGGGGCTAAAGAGGAGAGAAGTCTACTTTTTTGCTTCTTCAGAATCCCACACCTATGTCACTTCCTTCACCTGGACCTCGGGGGGTGGAATAAGATTGATCCATGGTTCTGCCATTTCGGGCTTTCTCTCTGAGCTGCTGGGTCCAAGCTTGGGAGATGGCAGTTGGACCTTACCTTTGCTCAGACCTTCATGTTTGGACATGTTTAAAACATTAGTAATGATGTACATGGTTTGGCTTTCATATACACTGTTAGCATGAGACATCCTTTCCACATCTGGGATATGTATCTCACATTGAGGTTGTAAGAAAACCTTCTAGATAAACAAAGACAAAGTTGATACACTGAGGTAAAATATTTGGGAACTCACTAATTAGTACTTGTGTGCTTGTGTGTGTTTAAAGCCTTGGCCTGTGATTTCATCAGTGGAGGGAGCTTCCCTTGAATACAAAAAGTCTCTTCACCAATGCAGATTGTAAACTCATCAGTAGCATGTCACCCTTGAGAGTAGTCTGGACCAAGTTAGTGGTTTGTCCAGGATAACGTAGTCAGTTTTATCAGAGGAAGGACTTAAAACTAAGTCTTCCTGACTCCAAAATTGACCTTCCATCATATATATGCATTTTTATATACATATATAGATATAGACATCAAAAGCATATAAAACTATGTTTCTCCTACATATTTATAGAGTGAAATCACTCTCTCACGTTATATGCATCTGTGAGCCAGGCAACAAGCATTTATTAAGCACTTACTATGTGCCAGACACTGTGCCAAAAACTCAAGATACAAAGAAAGATACCCCCTCTGAGACAGCCCCCTCATCCCAAGAAGCATATGTTCTGAAGAGAGAACATGTGAGTATCTAGGTATATACAAGCTAAATTCAGACTATGTGAAGGAAATCTTAAAGGAGAAGGCATGCGAAGATGAGAAAAACATGGAGGGAGGGAAGAGTGGTAGGAAGAGAGAGGAAACAGAGAGAAAAGAGAGAAATGGAGAGACAGAGATGAGAAAGATCCAAAGATGAGTGACAGAGAGATATGCATTTTGTTTTTCCAAATGTTGTATTTGCTTCATTAAATTCATATACCATAAAATGCAAACCATACACCAGCTTGTTGTATTTTCACAGGCATCAGCATTCAGTCTGTTCTCCCATATCCATCTGGGAACAGCCTGGTGGAGTATGAGTCTGCATTGACCACTCCCACAAACCATGCCCATAGAAAACCCAGAGACATTAAATAAAATAATTGGAAATTGAGGCTGTGCAGAAGTACCCTGCTCTCATTTTCTAAACAGCCATTCCAAAGCTCTCACTGCATAAAAATGTGTAAGCTGTCAGAGCAAGAGGCTGCCTTGTCCTGGCCCCTACTTCATCGAAGACACTCAGATTTGCTAACTAAGCCAAGTAATAACAGAAGTCAAACCCGAGTCTTGTGTGGATATTGCTCCCCTGAAAGCCTTGGCCCAGGCAAAAAAGGGCATGATTTGCCATCAACCCAACAAGCATTTATTAAGCACCTATTATATATGAGGCACCATGTTAAGTGTTGAGCATCCAAAGACAAAAATAAAAAGTCCTTTCCCTTAAGGAGTTTCCATTCTAGAAGGGAGGAGGCATATAAACAGGGAGATGTATATGTATATATGTATATGTTATGTATATGCGTGTGTGTGTGTGTGTGTGTGTATAGCTATAGATACATGTAAAACTTCAGAAGAAAGGAAGCAGTCTATAATTGGACTTCTATAAGGAAACAGCACATGAGCTGAGCTTTGACCCTGTGTTATTACTGGGTGGGAAAAATCGTAGTAGAAATGTGTCAGACTGGCTTCATGACAGCAGGACTTCAGTCTATTCATGGCGAGATTGTCTCATCCCAATATCACACAAATGTCCATGAAAAATTCCTGAGCACACCTTCCATGAGAAGCAGTGGACTATGATGTCAGGTGCAGCATAATAGATAGCCAGCCTTACGAAAATAAATATTTTTCATCGGGAACTATGGCCAAA